CAGGTCTGACACCTAAAATATTGACCATATTGATAGTATCAACCACGTTTACAGGGACGTCCACCAGATTATTAGCACTAATCGCAAGTCCATTCAAATTGTCCACCTGCAATGAATCAACATTTATAACCACATTAACAGCAGGTGAAACCGGAGCTTCACCAGGAAAAATTCCATGGCACTCATTCACAGGCGAGCGCACCAATACTTCACCCACCACAGGCGACGAATCAACCACTTTATCCAGCTCAACCACACCTGTATTTCCAGGAACAAAATTTCCCCCAGAAACAGCACCAAGCTCACCCAAAAAAACTGAGGGAGAACCCTCAATCACCACCACATTATCATTAATATCACACTCAACGTTAGCCGACACAGAGCCAGGAGGGAGAGAGTTCGAAACCGCAGGATCATTAGGCACCAGAGAACTCAACTTCACAGAAGAGGGGACAAAGGGTAGCGCATTCGGAGATAACAAAGTAGCAGCAACATCAGGATCCTTATCGACAACAGCCACCACAGTATTAAAATCCTTAGAGCTACCATTAATCACTTTCGATTTCCCAGACATAGCAACCACAGGTTTAGCAATAGGATGTAAAACAGGGCAGGCATCCTTAGAATGACCTAAGGAATGACAATGCATGCAAAACAAAGGAATGCCATCAAAAGTAACCGATTGAACATAGCTTGTTTTCACAGATCCAACCCAAATTTTATCAGGGTAATTCTTCGTGACATCCAATTCAACCAGGATATGAGCCATGGATGGACGAGAGCCCGACGCAGTCGCCATATCCGACTTGAGAGGACGACCAAAAGGAGAACCAAGAGCAGAGAGGATTCTAGGGGAGAATAAATGAGATCTCAGAAGGGGGAAAGAGACCCAAATCGGCACAATATGAGAGTCCACCTCAACATCCAAATCGGGAGACCATTTCACCACTTTCATGAAGCAATTTTGAACAAAGTAGGATCTATGAGAGAACATACGGCAATAATCAAAATCATTCACTAACTTGATCAAAACGTTCCGGTGATTAAGAACAGTGACCGAGAATTCACCTATTAACTTTAAGTTAAAACAGAAATTTCGAATCGCATCAACAGACGGACGCCGACCCAGAAAATGGCCAACCAAAGCGAAATCAAAAGGTGCCGCAAGGGACCGAATTTCTTCCTCAGAAATCAACAAAGCCGGTAAACCTCGATGAGAAGATACGCATAACTCAGGAAAATTAGATGAAGAGCCAGCTAAAGCATCTTTAAACGAAAGAGGCGAAGAAGCCCCCTTCAGGAAACTAGGATCACGAAGGCGGACGGAAGCCATGAAAAAAATAAAAGATACCTGAGGTAAAACAAGAAGGAGCAACCTCCAAAACGACAACAATCATCGCGACGGAGAAGACAGCGGAAACCCTTGTAGAGCAAACGAAAGGCGTGCCATTTTTACAACAATATATGATTAATTATATAACATATATAATTATATCGAATAGCGCAAGATTTGGTAGAAGCGTCTGCTAGGGTAGAAGCGTCTGCTAGGGTTTTGCCCCTTCGGGCTTAGCCCGCCACCTTCATCTTCTTCCGCCCCTTTCCGTCGAGGGGTTTATCTATGGCGAAAAAGCTTTTGGATCCTGGATTCCTCGCTGGTAAGCATCCTAAATCGTTTAGGGATGCTTTGTCTGGTGATTCCATCATCTCTTTTCCGGATTTCCGCATATCTTCGAACCGAGGTATGCCATCCTTATGGTTCTCGGAAGAGGAATTTCTTCACCTTGCTAAACCGTTTGAATTTGCTTTGGTTGGGAGATTTCCTCTCAAACGCCCCACTTTAGATTCTATCCGTAAATTTTTTTTCGGTTTGAAATTATCGGGAGAATTTTCGGTCACTCTCTTAGATCAAACTAATGTTTTGATTAAGCTTCATAATGATTTGGATTATGCTAGGGTCTTTGCTCATAGATCTTACTTGGTTTTTGGGTGTTTCATGAAAGTTATTAAATGGTCCCCTGTTCTTGATCTTGCTGAGGAATCACCGGTTGTGCCTGTTTGGTTGTCTTTTCCTGGTTTACGCCCTCACCTTTTCTCTTCTCGCATTTTGTTCGGTTTGGGTTCCATTTTCGGTAAACTGATACATACTGATAATGCAACTGCAGTTGGTTCTAGACCTTCTGTAGCTCGTATTTTGGTCGAATTAGATGTTACCAAAACCTATCCAGATTCTGTTTGGTTAGGGCCGGATAAATTGGGGTATGTCCAGAAGGTTGTCTTTGAATGCATGCCTGTTTTTTGTTCTGCATGTAAAACTTTAGGCCATAATAAAATGGAATGCTCTAACCGGAAATCTAAAATTCCCACGTCTGAGCCTATAGCTGCAAATTCTCTCAAAGAACCTATTTCTTCTGTTAATCCGGTTATTTCTCGTGATTGTGATGAACTGGGTAATGCGGAAGATGCTTCTTTGTTGATTCGCATTTTGCTGGAAATTTTTTGGGTGATGTTTCGGGATCAAATGTGCGGAACAATTTGAATTGGTTGGAGTCGTCGGAGGGGGAATTGGGTTCTGATTCTGATGATGATTTCATACCTTCGCCGGAATTCTGTGGTGGTTCAGATCCTGGTTTTGACTTTAATCTTGTTAATGTTAGGCCTGTTTCTGTGGTTGGCTTTCGGGGCAGGGCCCGCGGTCGTGGTCGGGGTCGTCGTCGCCGTTAGTCTTTTGTTTCTGTTTTCTATGGTTTTTGGCTTTTTGTGGAGGTTGGTTCAGTCAGTTGGTTTTGCGTCGTATTAGGGCAATGATGGGTTGGGGCACATCATTGCGTCGTGCTTGTGGCAACCATAGCTGTGGGTTCATTTCGGATAGCTTCGAGGTGCTATTGGATGGCCCTTGTGACGTGTTGCTGGTGTTTGCCTCAACCGCCCCTGAGCCCACACCTTATTGTATTTTCCTTTTCTTCTTTTTTTCCTTCTCTATTTCTCATATTGTACTGTTCTCTTAATTTTTATTAATAGAAGTTTCTGTTAAAAAAAAAAAAATTATGTTAAAATTAATTTAGATGAGCATAATAATAAGTTTCTTTTATTATCATAAAATTTATCTTCTTATAATTAATAATAATAATAATAATAATTAAATAAAATCATATTGTCAATTTCAAACTAAAAAAGAAAAAGTTTGAGAATATTCTTAACATCAAAATTTTGCACCTACCGATAAAAAATCTTAGCACGTCCATTAATGACACATATTTCAAGATAAAATAGGTACTTAATAATCACTTTGGCCTATTGGTTGAGGGTTTAGGCTATAAACTAAGATGTCTTAAGTTCTAGTCTTTGTGAATGCCATGTGTATGAATTTGTCTTTAATGATCTAAATATCCCAAAAAAAATAACTAAAATATAATGAGAAATTGATTTTTTATTTGATGATTTAATATTTTTTATTGTATCAATGGCTACAATTACAATGCTAGAGTAAATTAATTAGATCAGTTGATTAAAATTTTGGAGTCATTTGCATGAGTATTCCACGTTTCAATTAGAGAAAGCCCATGTGTCAATTTACATGAACTCATAAACGACGTGCATATATGCATGGATTCACCTTCATTTGCATAATCTTAGTTTTCACTGAGGGCAAGCGGTAAATTTATAAAAAAAATAAAAATGTATATAAAAGTGAAAAAATAATTTATTTTGCACACGATCGTTTTAAACAGATTTGGTTTATTAGTTTTAGAAAAGTTTAACCTAATCGGATGAAAATAACTGGAGGCGAAAAAGCTTCCGATTTTTAGAGGGACAAATTGCATGAAAAAAAAACGACTTAGGTAAAATATAAAATTCAAAGGGAACAGATTACAAATGATTCTTAATGTAGTAGGAGTTTTAAATTTTTTAAGAAGGGACAATTGTGCCCCCACCACAAAGTAAAGCAATATTTGATCATAACATTAAGAGAATTTAAAAAAAAAAATTGAACAAAATGTAAACCAAAATTGAACAGTAATTAAGCAATATTTAATGAGTAAAAAAATTGAACAAGATTTTAAACAAAATTTAAAACTAATATTTGAACAAATTGTACGTAGAATATAATAAGGATCTAAGCAATAAGTTGATAGTAAAACTTGAGCATAAATTCGACCAATACATTAAACAGCATTTGAACAAAATTTCGTAAAATTATAAAAAAAAAATGAATAAAATTGAAGCGAAATTTGAATAGATTTTATTTTAGGATTTCGAAATGAGTTTACAGCTGCATGGTAGCGTACAAATTAATTTTTTAAGGATTTTTTTAGGATTTTTTTAATTAATTATTTGGATTTAATTTAAGTGGGACTGCTGGCACACATTTCGCGATAAAATATGACAGATTTTGGAAATGAAAGCCAATAAATAAATACTTAATGAGAACAACTACAAGGCGGATTTTATTATAATTTTAAGCAAAATTTGATGAGATTTTTTAAAAATAATTTCGAACAAAAGTTAAACCAAACAAGAACAGTAATCAAGGTAATTAAGCAATATTTATTAAAATTTTGAACAAAAATTGAACGAGATTTTAAACAAAATTTATAACTAATATTACAACAAAATTTTGAATATAATTTGCTAGCTGTTGAAAAGGATTTAAGCAAGAAATTGCTAGTAAATTTTGAATAAAACTGGAGCATAAATTCAAACAAAATTTTGAGTGAAACTTAATAATAATAATAATAATTAAATTTAAGCAAATTTTGAATCGTTTTTTTTATTAAGATTTCGAATAAATATTGAAAATATTTTGGGCAGGAAATGAAAACATCAATTGATTAAAAGTTTTGGCTCATGCAGGATTCCACGTCTCAATTCAAGAAATCCAATGTTTTATTGAGTGTGCTGAGGACCAACAGGTGTCAATTTGCATGAACGTAGCTTTTGTTGTATGCCTATAAGTATGGATTCTCCTTCCTTTCATTTTCTCCATCACCAAATTACAACTGGTACCCTAAGCGAAGAGCCCAAAGCTAGCCATGGCAGCAGCATCAGCAGCGATGACTGCACTTCTTCGTCCTTCAACCTCCCCTCACTTCCTCAAACCTAATAAGCATCGCCTCAGTCCACGTTTTCCTCGTCTCTGCAGTTTCTCGTTGCCCTCATCAACCCCCCAAAACCTATCAACAACCCCCCAAACCACCATTGAAGCTCAACCAAAACTGGCCATCACCAACGTCGTCGACATCCTAAGTGAGCGCGGCCTCGTGGACTCCATGACAAGCGACGATCTGCGCTCAGTGTGCTCTAATCCCAACAGTATCCCGCTCAAGGTTTATTGCGGCTTCGACCCGACGGCAGAAAGCTTGCAGTTAGGAAATCTAATCGGAATGGTGGTTCTTTCATGGTTCCGGCGATGTGGCCATAAGACCATTGCCGTTATCGGTGGAGCCACTGGCCGGGTCGGTGACCCATCCGGAAAAAGTCTAGAGAGGCCAGAATTGAACGTGGAGACCATAGAGAAAAATAGAGCGGGAATTAGGGCTCTGATCTACAAAATTCTTCACAGAGCTAGCGTGCAGGTGGATTTAGAGATGGGTTGTATAAAAGATGAATATTTGAACCCAGAAACCAACGAGTACTGTAGCTGTTTTGCGATGGAGGATAATTTTAACTGGTGGAAAGACATAACGTTGATGGATTTTCTTGGAGAAGTGGGCCGATTCGCTAGGGTTGGAACTATGATGGCCAAGGACAGTGTGAAGAAGCGGCTCATGTCTGAGGGGGGGATTAGTTTTACTGAGTTCACCTATCAATTACTTCAAGGTTATGATTTTCTGCACATGTTTAAAAATATGGGTGTAAATGTTCAGATAGGTGGGAGCGATCAGTGGGGAAATATTACTGCTGGAACTGAGCTCATAAGAAAGATTTTGCAGGTGGAAGGCGCCTATGGACTGACTTTCCCTCTTTTACTAAACAATGACGGGTCCAAGTTTGGGAAATCTGAAGGTGGCGCAATATGGTTGTCGCCGGCCATGATGTCACCTTATAAATTCTATCAATACTTTCTCTCTGTGCCGAATGAGGATGTTGTGAGGTTTCTGAAGCTTTTGACCTTCTTGGACTTGAAGGAGATTCAGGAGTTGGAGGAAACTATGAGGAAGCCTGGCTATGTTTTGAAGTCGGCCCAGAGAAGGCTTGCAGAAGAAGTGACGCGCTTTGTTCATGGTGCAGAAGGACTTGTCGAAGCAATGAAGGCAACAGAGGCTTTAAAGCCGGAGGTGTTTGAACTTGTTTGAATGCTGGACCTGTTGAAATGGAGCTGTTAGGTAATATGATGCATGTGTGTTTGGTATGTTTGGTATGTGAAGGATAAAAAGCTGATATATATCACTTCGATATGTGAATAATGTGTGGTATGAATAATTGAAGTGATTAATGGTCGGTTTGGATATGTAATATATGGTGACGTAATAGTTATGTTTATTATGGTTTTGGTTGTGGCAAAATATAGTTATTGGGCTTTTAATCTCTATCAGTTAATTTTGATTGCTTTTATTGTTTATAGTTTGCTATTATGATTTTGATTTGTTAAAATTTTCTTGTTATTGCCTACGTTGGAAAAAAAATTTAATCCATTCATATCAAATTTATTTTAGCACTGAAAAGAAACAAAAAATTTCCTGAATGATAAAATGCTTGCTAAGGAACTTCTTTTATAGTTTTTGTTTTTACATAAAAATAGTCAAACCTATATGTGACAGATTTATTTTCTCCTTATACATATATTTCTTTTTCTTTTTTTCTTTTCAATCTCTGTTGTTATGTGTGGGAGAAGCTCTTAGGCAATGTGCTTTTGCCATGTAGATTTTTGAGAGCATCAGGTTTTAATCTCTTGGTGATTTATGTCAAGTTTTTTTTTTTTTTTTCTAGCGTAGCAGCAGTAACAACTGCAAGGGAAGAATATCGGAATAAAGCAATGAATAACCAAGTAGTAGTATATTGATGTCTCTATCTTTCTTATAAAATAAAAAAAAAAACAAAAAAAGACAAAAAAAAAATTTAAATGTCTCTATCTTTCTTTTGGTTCTACCTTTATATTGTTAGCACGCAACTTATACTCATTAAGCTGTTCCTGCACTTATTTCTTCTTTAATTATATTAGTCTATATAGCTGCAATATTAATATTTATGAACCTGGTGACTGAATATCACCTCATATTGATAGCACCTCATATTGATAGTCATGATTTTATAAGGTCATTCTTTACCGTTATTAGAATATCAAAACATACAAATATTGTAATTATATTATTAAATATTGCTTACGTTTCTTTCTTCCATTTGATATCAAGAACGGTAACGTGTACAAATGGCTATATAAACCTATGTACCTATCTGCGAAGCTAATAAGAAAATATTTTTATCTGCTTCTCTGTTCTTGGTTTCGTCCTTTTACTTTCCTTTGTCCCGTCCTTTTCTTCTACATGGTATCAGAAGCTCGATAATCTGTACCAAGAATGAGCTCGGCAACCTCGAATCCTGGCGAACAACTCGACGGAGAAGGGTTCGCCGATCCTCTCATTCCGGCGACATTCAAGTTCGTCGTCACAAACCTGCGCACGCTGGTGCATATTCAACTTCAAGCCGACAACTATCCATTATGGAGAGCGCAAATTGCAAAAATCTTTAGAGCAAATCGGTTTGAAAATTTTCTTGAACCTTCCTCCCTCTCTTCTTTATCGATTTTGTCTCCTCCTCCCACGGTCTCCATCCCGGATCCCCAATAATCGCAATAGATTCTCATGGACCAAAACTTGGCCGCTGCCATGTGTTCGACCATTTCCACATCTATTCTTCCATATGTGGTTCATCATGACTCAACAGCTGAAATTTGGTCCACACTTAAGACGCGCTTTCAATCTTCCAACATGTCCAAAGTTATCCAACTGAAAAATTCTCTTCATAATATTGCTCTCAAGAACCAATCTATTACCCCGTATCTGACCGAGATCAAAGTTCTTGTAGACCAAATCACCGCATCTGGCTCGTCGGTTGACAATGAGGATGTCATTCTTTACATCCTCAATGGACTGCCTCAATCCTATCAGTCTTTTAAAACCTCCATACGAACTATGTTAAACCCCATCTCTCTTGATCAACTCTACCCCCTTCTCCTTAGTGAGGAAATTAATCTACTGAGGAAATTAATCTTGCCACTGAAACGGCCCGCTCAGCTTCTTTGAATGATCCGCAAACAGCTCTGTTCGTTCCAAGAAATCGCGGCCGCAGATCTCGTGGTCGCAATTACAACAACGTCAACAACTCTACTCGATCTCAGGCCAACCCCAACGCCAATGTTATCTGTCAAATCTTCTCTAAGAGGGGACATGCGGTGACAACATGTTGGCACTGACTTGATCAAACCTATGGTCCATCACAAGCCTTGGATACTCACCGAGCCTTAGCTGCACAAACAGAGACCACTCCGTCCAACTGGTATTTGGACTCCGGATCGACATCTCATCTCACAAGCTCGCTAGACAACATGTCCAACATCACATCTTATCAAGGATCCGACATGATCACGGTAGGCGACGGGAGATCGGTTAACATTGCCAACTCCAGCAACGGCCTGTTACCAACTCCCTCTCGTAAGCTCACTCTATCTCAAATCCTCCACATGCCTTCTTTAAAATTTAACCTGCTTTCTATTTCAAAGCTCACTAAAGATAACAATATTACGATAACATTTGATCCATCTGGTTTTCAATTCAAGGATTTGAGGACTCAACAGGTACTGCTACAAGGCCCCTGTGACAGAGGATTATATCCCATAAGCACTACAAATCCGGCATCTCCAAGGACGGCTCTGGCTACCATAAACAGCACATTCCCTTGGCATGATTAGCTGGGGCATCCCAACTTACATATTTTGAAAACTATAGCTCATTATAATCCTGCTTTGAATATTTCTACTAGCTCTGTTTCTTGAAATTCTTGCAAACTGTCAAAAGGTCATAAAATTTATTTTTCTAAATCCAACAATAGAATGAAAATTATTTTGTCTTTGATTCATTCGAACGTTTGGGGCCCTGCACCCGTGGATTCGGTTCAGGGTTATCGATACTACGTAATCTTTATTGACGATTTTAGTCACTTTACCTATCTTTTTCTGCTTCGACAAAAATTTGAAGTTTTTCAAAACTTTGTTAATTTTAAAAATCAAGTCAAAAAATATACCTCGCAAAGCATTAAAACTATTCACACTGATGGGGGTACCAAATTTCTAAACAAGCAATTCTCTTAATTTCTAGCGGATCACGGCATCAGTCATCAGGTATCCTGCCCATATACGCCGGAGCAAAATGGCGTCGCAGAACGCAAGCACCGACATGTTATTGAAACGGCCCGGACACTTCTGAAAGCCTCCTCCGTTCCCTACAAACATTGGCCTGAAGCTGTAATGACATCGGTGTACCTTATAAACTGCATGCCATCCACAATTACTTATCCATTTACTCCGTTTGAACTCGTACACTGAACCAAACCAGAATACAAACATCTTCGCACTTTTGGTTGTGCATGCTTCCCACTCTTGCCTCCCCATACCCACCACAAGCTTCAACCCAACATGAAACCTTGCGTCCTGCTCGGCTACTCAGACACCTATAAAGGTTACAAGTGCTTGGACATTATTACTAATAAAATCTCATTTTCCAGGCATGTTACATTTCAAGAAGACAAGTTTCTATTCAGTTTATAGCAGGACAATCAATCCGGACCATCTACCGATCTTCCGTCGCTACTTCTCATTCCTAATTCAGCTGCATCTTCGGCAAGAATTCTCAACCAGCATATCCCTGCCACTACACTTCCTCCTACACCTGTCTCTACTTCACCTATTTTACCCGAAACTACTAACAATACTAATATCAATTCAGGCTCTCAACCTCCACCACAGTTAACTCACCCAATGCTTACAAGAACTAAGAAGGGTAAGCTGAAACCGGTAATGCGGATGAATCTTCTGCACACTCAAGAAGGCTCAAGCTCCAGTGATTCTCCTCCCAACTATACCGAAGCCGTCAAGCATCAGCATTGGAGAACAGCAATGGCTAATGAATTTCTCGCCCTACAGCAACAAGGCACCTGGAGCCTCATCCCTCCTCCGCAGAACGTCTCCATACTAGGATGCCGATGGACCTACCGCACAAAGTTTCATTCCAATGGCTCTGTGGCTAAGCACAAAGCAAGACTGGTCGCGCAAGGACATCGTCAAGAATTTGGTTTAGACTACACTGAGACTTTCATTCCGGTCGTAAAACTTCCCACAATCCGTATTATGCTTGCAATTGCTCTTTATAACAATTGGCATGTGCATCAACTTGACGTCGCGAACGCATTCCTTCACGGGAAACTCTCCGAACAAGTCTTCATGACTCAACCTAAAGGCTTCAAGGATACCAAGAATCCCACACACGTCTGTCAACTTCACAAAGCCATCTATGGCTTGAAACAAGCTCCACGCCAATGGTACAATACATTCACGGATTACCTAATGTCCATTGGTTTTAAGTGCAACTTCGCAGATCCATTGCTACTAGTTCTACGTCAACAATCTCACAGTATCTACCTATTAGTATACGTAGATGATATATTAATTACCGGTTCTAATTCAGAATCTATAACAGCAGTTATACACGAACTCAGCCTAAAATTTTCCATGAAACATTTAGGTCCCGTACATAACTTTCTAGGAGTCAAAATTGACAGGCACAAAGATTTCTATTTCCTCTCACAACGGACGTATGCAACCTCTCTCTAAGAGCAAACGGGTCTTTTCAATTGCAATCCAGCCGCAAATCCCACATTCACAAAAATACCAGATAATCCCAAACCAGACTCCACACTCTCCAATCTGGTACTCTACCGCTGCATTACAGGATACCTACAGTACCTAACGCTCACTCGACCGGACATTGCCTATAGTGTAAATCAGCTCTCTCAACATATGCATAATCTGGAACTGCAACACATTTACATGCTCAAGAAACTCTTACGATACATCAAAGGTACGCTACAATTTGGAATTCCCATTATTAAATCTGATCTTGTGCTTAAATCTTTCTCAGATGCTGACTGGGCCGGGGATCCTACATCTCACAAACCTACCTCCGGGTTCTGTTCATTTCTGGGCAATACAATCATTTCTTGGACAGTAAAGAAGCAACACACGGTGGCTAGATCTTCCACCGAGTCCGAATATCGTGCACTAGCTGCACTTACCTCAGACATCATTTGGCTCAGACGGCTCTTATCAGATTTTGGAATTTCTCAAACCAAACCCACCGACATGTTCTGTGATAACACGTCCACAATAGCACTAGCAAACAATCTGGTTTTCCATGCCCGGACTAAACATATAGAGATCGACAATAAATTCATTCGGGATCATCTTCAACAAAATCATATTCGTCTTTTACCAATTA